CCTTATTTTAAGGCACCTAAGTGCCGTGGTCTAATTTGATGGTAGCTTAAGACAAAAACCCACGTCTTTTTTTTATTTTTTTTATAGCTGAGCCATCCTGCCATCTGTTGGCAGCTCAGCAGCAGCTCAGCTTGGGCCATGAATCGAACTGGCGACCCTGTTGCTCAGAGCTCACACTCGGCTAACCCACATCTTTATGACTTATCCATTATGCTGTTATATAGATTTATCATTGTAAATATTGCTTAATAAAAGCTATAGATGAAACTATTTTGCCACCTTATTATGTAGACTTTATTTCAACCTGATATATATATATATATATATATATATATATATATATATATACACATATATATAATGTATATATACCTAAACCAAGTTAACTTAGGCGGGCAAATATTTAGAATACACAGAAAAATAATGTATTTTTGTAAATTATTTCTTTACAAGATAATTTATTTGATTGGCTGCTACAATCAAAAGTACAAGTTGTAATTAACTATCCTCTTCTCTGGTTATATTTAGATAGAACATAAATTCTATTGGATGCATTATCTAAAGTACAGACTTACATAAATGAACCAGAGTCAATCATTTCAGAGTTTCTTTCCAACTTAAGCTTTAAACGTGAGATTTAAAATTTAACCATAATACTAAGAAAATAACATTAAATAAACTTCCACTGCAGATCATCTAATAATTTTACAAAGCTCAAGTTAAAAATAATGCAAAAAGCTTCAAAGGACATCCATTTCTAGTTTTACTTTGCTTTTATCTTGCTTAATTTCAGAGTATAAAAGTACTTCCATGACATATATCACACTCAATAAAAATGATAAACTGAGACATCAATATCTTCTTGGAAGGAATAGAATGACAATATAATTATAACCAGGCAGAACATATGTTTCAAAAAAGGCAATTATTATTTGTGCCATAATAGTAATATTGTGAAGACTTAATGGGTGTTTCAAAGTAGCTGCCAGATAAATTGTGATGACTAGATTTTGAAAAACCTGACATTTAAGAGTAGAATGAAATCTCTATGATTATGTTCTCACAAAATATGTAAAACGTGTGTGTGTGTTAATTGCTAAAAAGTGATAATACTGTTATAATCTATATTCTTGAATAAATCATATTATTGCAATTCACGAGGCCTGACAATTAAGTTCACAAACTTGTTGCAACAATGTTGCTAACGTTTTTTGATATCAGGGAGATTATTTATTATGAATTTGTATCAACTGGACAAACATTTAGCCAAGTTTACTATTTCGAAGTGCTGAAAAGGCTGTGTGTAAAAGTTTCACGACCTGAACTTTTCGCTAACAATTCATGGCTCTTAAATCATGACAATGCACCAGCTTACATGGCACTGTCTGTTAGGGAGTTTTTAGCCAGGAAACAAATAACTGTATTGGAACACCCTCCCTACTCACCTGATCTGGCCCCCAATAACTTCTTTTTTTTACCCGAAGATAAAGAAAATATTGAAAGGAAGACATTTTGATGACTCAGGACATCAAGGGTAATACGACGACAGCTCTGATGACCATTCCAGAAAAAGAGTTCCAAAATTGCTTTGAAGGGTGGACTAGGTGCTGCTTTTACAGCATAGCTTCCCAAGGAGAGTACTTAGAAGGTGACCATAGTGATATTCAGCAATGAGGTATGTAGCATGTTTTCTAGTTCATGAACGTAATTGTCAGACCTCGTATGTTATCATCAGATGATGAATGAAATCATTTCTCTTATACACACCAAAATCTAGATTTGAAAGCAGTGCTAGAGATATTTCATAGAGTTGATGCTGATTGATGAGGCTTTGCAATAAAAATTTTGCCAAATGATTCAAGAAAACTTCAACCTTGATGCACTCGCTTTCTTCTCTTTCAATATCTGTTTGATGGTTGTAATCACAAGGCCAAGAGCACAAATGATATCTAGTGGATGCCAAAATCTAGTGCTGCGTCTTTTAATAATTAATTCCTAAAGCAACCTGAAAGTTACATGGTGACTTATGCCATTCTAATTCTGTCATTACAAGCTAAAGGGAAGTGCTTTTTAAGGCATTTAGCTTGGCTATTTTGAAAGCTAAGTGTTTTGTGACAGAACTTTCCTACATTAAGTCTGAGACATGAACTGAGCCAATTTAAGTTAACTTCTATTTCATGTTCCTATAGCCGTGAACCTGACACTTAGAGCAACTTATTGTTGCCATTCTATCCATTTCCATATGTCTCTTATTTTTTATTAAATTGGATGGGAATATATGTTGGTGATGTGTTTGTGTTTTAAAAAAAAGAAGTGACTTCAATGTTTTTTTTTTTTTTTTTTTTTTTGTTGTTGTTGTTGTATCTATCAATAGTTGGTTCCTTTTTATTGTTGAGCAGTATTCCATGGTATGGACATGCCAGTTTGTTTTAGCATTTATCTGTTGAAGGACAAATGGGTTGTTTCCAGTTTGGGGCTATTACAAATAAAGGTGCTATAAATATTTGTGTACAGGTTTTTGTGGGAATATAAGTTTTCATTTCTCTGGGGTAAATGCCTCGGAGTACAATTGCTGGGTCATATGGTACTTGCGTGTTTCGTTTTTTAAGGAACTGCCAAATTGTTTTCTAAAGTGACATTTTGTATTACTACCAGCAGTATGTGAGTTACCCAGTTTCTCACATCCTTACCAGCATTTGGTATAGTCTCTAGTTTTTATTAGACATTTTGATTGGTTTTAGTGGTATTTCCCTGTGGGTTTTTTTTTATTGTTAGTTTCAGGTGTACAGAACAATGCAATAGTTACCCTTTTCACCCTCACAAAGTAACAACCCTCCACCCCCGATATCATGCTTATCTATTACAATTCCATTGAATCCGTTCCCGCACTCTACTCCATGTCCCGAGGTTATATGTCTATATAATTATAGTTGACATACAGTATTATTCAACATCAGATTCAGAAATACAATGCGG